GCTAGCCTTGAGCTGAAGAGCTGAGGGACAGTGCCCAGGCCCAGAGTTCAGGCCCCACGGACTGCACCCAAAAAAAAAAAAAGAACAGCGGGCTTTTGACAGAAATGGCTTTCCACCGCACACTCCCATGGGGGGAACCCTGTCTTGGTGCCCGCAGCCTGAGGGCCCGAGCACAGGCCGCCCCAGCCATGCTTGCCCACCAGCTTCTGGGCCCTTGGCCAGCGGTGCCACAACAGCCAACTACATGACTCAGAACCCTAGCGTGGAAGTCATAATAGGAAAAAGCAGGCAGAGCCCGGCTTCTAAGGCAGAGGTCAGCCTGTGCTTCTGGCCGCTGGAGGGGGTAGGAGACAGGAGTCTCAGGGTCACTCTTGGCAGGGAGCCGGGGAGGCAGTGCCTGGGGGCAGGATGGCTGGTGTGGAACGGGGCCCAGGTCCTGGCGAGGAGGGGACACCTCCCCCCAAGCTCCCCCCATAACCAGGCACCATAGGGCAGACCTGCCCCTTCCCAGCCCTGACTTGGCAGAAGGGCTTCTGCACTGGGGGCCCTGTCCCGGTGTGGGCCCTGGAGTGTCAGAGGGGTGCAAGTGGACTGAGCTGAAGCAGCCCCAGCGTTCAGGCAGGAAGGGGGGTTGCAGACCTCCACCAGGCACGGGGGAGCCCCGGGGCCAGGTGAAAAGGCAGCAGGACATGGCTGTGAAGACCCAAGGGTGGAGGCATTCGCTGGAGGGAGAGGTGGCGAGGGTGGGAGCCTGGTGAACAGTGGGGGCTGCGGGCTGGGAAGGTGGCTCAGTGGCAGAGCGCTAGCCTTGAGCTGAAGAGCTGAGGGACAGCGCCCAGGCCCAGCAGGGTGAACAGGCGTTTGAAAGGTGGAAGGGAACGGCTCTCTGGCCAGGCTAGACACCCCCATGAACAGATACCTACATGCAGGAGAAGGGCTGCCAAGTGAGCCTCAGACTACCAGAAACACAGACCACAGAACTATAGAGAGGAACAGATTTTTTTTCCTTTGGTTCCATTCCTGGGGCTTGAACTCAGGGCCTAGATGCTGTTCCTGAACTTTTGGGTTCAAGGCTGGTACTCTACCATTTGAGTCAACAGCTCCAGTTTTGTTTTGTTTTTTTGGGTAGTTAATTGGAGATAAAGAGTTTCACACTTTCCTGCCTGGGCTGGCTTCAAACTGAGATCCTCCAATCTCAGCCTCCTGAGTAGCTATGATTACAGACATGAACCAACAGTGCCTGACCATTTGTGCTTTCTTTGAGCCATGATCTTGCTATGTAGCCAAGGTTGGCAACCTGCCTGTTTCTGTCTCTAGAGTGCTGGGATTACAGGCATTTACCAACACACCTGGCTGCTCCTATTCACTTTCCCTTTTGTTTTAGGAAGGACCTGCACAGTGCTAGGATGGCGGCATGCCCAAACGCCACCTTGAAGGGGATGTATGTGCAAGTCTGCCCATCACTCTGCTTGTGCCTTGGCTGCCAGGGGCTGCCCCATCTTCTCCCTGTCCTGGGGAAGACCAGCAGTGGAGTCTTGGGATTCTTAAAGCCTTGTCCTGGCAGAGTCAGGTCCCAGGGCAGGTTGGGGGCCTGAAGGGCCTTTAAGGTTCATGTCCCACCTCAGTGGAACAGTGCTCCCTCAGACTGTGGCTAAGACCTTAGCAACCCTAGATCACAGCTGGCATTAATGATGTTTGTCTGGCTTGTCCCCGGTGGCAAGGTAGCCTCTGTGACAGGGTCAGTGTTCATTGCTGGTGGGCGTGAGCCCTGAGAAAACTCCTTTCCCTATCCACACGAGGGTTGAGCACGCGGTGGGCTCGGTGACACAGAACATCAGCTGCAACAGCACTTGAAGACGCTGGGAATGAGTCCTTGGCAGAAACAGGAACCCCGTGGCGCAGAGGGCTCCAGGGTTGAGGCACCTGTGGGAATGACACAGCCTGAGGAGCAGAGGGGCTGCTGCAGCCGCAGGCCCTGCCCTTGACAGCTCTGCTGCCAAGGGATTTGGATGGAGGCCTTGACAAAGCAACGACGGAACTGGTCAGGAAGACCAGACCCTCCATCCCGCACAGCCACCGCTGTTCCCGCTTGGCAAGCTGCAGGGACCCTGAGCTGCATGGACATCCTGACTCCTGGACCGGGAGGCCACCCAACCCTGCAGTCAGGTCCACCGGAATGCCCCAGGCCAGCAGTGGAGACAGCAGCAGGCTGACGTGGGCTTGAGAGTCAGATGTGCTGTATTCCAGCTCAGGTCTGTGAGGTGCTGGGCTGCCAAGGACCCTCCATGGTAGACATGTCTCAGTCCCAGGACATCGAGGACACAGCCTCGCTCTCCCTTCTGGATGCCCGGGCCTGCTGCTCCTCCTCCACCAGGTCAGCTACTAGGTTCATCTGGCAGGCCCTTAGCGCCTCCACCAGGCGCTCCACCGTGGCCTTCTCCCTCTCTGCGTCCTTCCAGATCCTCAGCGACTCCCTCACGCGCTCCATCAGGCTGCGAGGGTACCTTTCCTCGATGCCATCGATCCTGGTGTCTGAAACCTTCAACTGCCGGGCCAGTCTTCTCCAGTCTCTCCCGATGTGGTCACAGACAATATCAAAAGCCGCCCGCAGATCTAGGAAGGAAGGAGCAGAACAATAGAGGGCCGTTCTGGCATCTCACCCAGGGAGGCTGGCTGGGCAGGGTCCTCCGAAGCTCTTTGTAGGAGTGACTAAGGGAGGGCCCTGGGATGGCCAGCTTTACAAGGCACACAGGGGAGGCACGTGACCATGGGGGCAGAGCCGGACCTTGGCCAAGAGAGAGGGGAAATAAGGCAAGGCCAGCCCTTGGGCCTTCATGAGCGTGGCCCTGCTGACACCTGCCTCTTCCCATTTCTGGCCTCTACAACTATGGCACAACAAATTCTGCCACAACAGATTTCCGGTTCTCCCAACCTACAGGGCGGGGCGGACATTTCGGGCGCAAAGGTCCAGCAACGACAGGGCTCGGGCGGCCCCACCCTGGGCCCCGGCCGCCCCCAGCCCCGCCCCC